AGGCTGAGGACGCGCCATGCGCGCCGGCGAAACGTAACGTACGAAGGCTCGACATGTTGAGTATGCTATGACGCCTGAGTATCGTGAAGGTACGGGTGCGGTTGGAGGGCTCTGTGGTAGTCGACCGCACGAAGGTGGGTATGGCGATTTGGCAGGGTGCCATGGATGAAGCTCAACCCAGGATCACAATGATCACATTGGGCCCCTGGGGAGTGGTTATCAATCTAAAGTTGATGAAGCCTGTATTAACATCTGCTTACCATGTTTCGCAGCTACAATTGCCCGGGTAAGGTGGTTGTGCGCAAGTTGAACCCTCTTCGTACGCCGAAGCGTGTCCTTGGGTGCGCAAGCGCGCGAAGTCGCTCTTCGTCATGTTGAACGCATCGGTCTACCGCTAGATTGAATGCATGTGACTGGGCGATGTTTGCGATGGACAGAATCTGGTGCGTGCGGTAATGTGCGTCGCGTCGTTGTGATGGGGGCCGTGAATCGGTCGCTGTGATGGGGTCGAGGGCGTCTTGTTGAGCGGGGCGGCCACTGACCAATCGGAGCAGCCGGAAATCCCTCGCGCGTCGCCCGCTTGCGTGCCCGCCTGATCGCCGCGCAGCAGACGCCCCTCCACACCATACGGCCACACTGGACCCTGCCCAACATTATAGAACTGCCACTATTGTCGACTGCTCATCCTTTGCCACGATGGACCGAAGCTTCTCGCCTCGCGGTCTAGGGGCTTTGCCGACAAGAAGGCGCCTATGGATCAGACTGAGGCCCTGCGAGAACGCGTAAATGAACCGCCTTCATCTCGGTCTTGGTATTGAGCCTGACTGACGTATGCGTGGAGCGGAATGTGATAGTACTCAGCCGAAGGCCTGCGAGGCCTTGCGCACGGCATGCACTTCCACTACCAAGATTTCCAGCTTCCATTATCATCGACGTGATCAAGGCGACCTTGTGGCGTTCAGCGCCTCGCCTGACAACATCGACGGCAGACGTACGTTCCAATAGAACTAAACTGGCCTGCGCGCGTACACGTATATCGAGGAATTGCGAAACTTAACAAGCCATGACTACAACAGCTCAGCGTGCAGTCTTCAACCATGTGACATCTGAAAAGAATGAGTTAGACTATGTCTACATTAAAAGAGTTTATACTGTCAACAAAATCGGGCGTGTCGACGAGCCCTTACCAGGTCTAGAATTGGTGACCATCTTAATCCCGCCTCTAGCCCTTCCGATTGTCGCTGGAGGTGTTGTACGCTTCGATGCATCTTGTCGTGCCTTGCGGAAGGCAGAAAATGTCGGCTTACCTGCTCCTATATCGATTCAATGTTTTTGCTCAGCATGATGGTCCAGCGTGTCTCGATTCACCAGGCTTCCAAGGTTGAATGTGCCCAACGATGCGTATTCCAGTGAGACCCACGACCCATCCACCAAGGCCATCTAAGGCTTTCAACAAAGAGTTCTCTAGGCTCGTCAGGCTTGTGTCCAGACTGGCGAGCCATCTTTTACGCAGCTTATCTTTGAAGAAAGGACTTGAGCTTATCTACGACGCCCGAACTCTCTAACATCAGCTTGAGCAGCCCACTATCGGTGGCGTTAGGCTGGTGTGACGTTCGATCGTTGGGCCGCGATGCCCCAACGCAGCCGTGGGCTGGCGGAACTCTTCTTGTCAGGTTTGCGCAATCCATAACCGAGAACCAGAAGGTTCTGCAGGAAGGTCGATGTCAACGACTTCAAAGACGACCGAAGCGATGCACCGAGTATACCTCGCTGATGAGTCCTTCACCAGCATGCTTCTCCCGTCCTGAGGGAACGCGCTAAACGTCCGGTGTTGCCCTCCTTGACCCTAATTGTCGCTGTCACTGATGCTGGCTTCGAGGACGCTGCCGAGGATGAGATATGAATGTCATCTATCAGGCGGAGGCTTTGTTCATCACATCAATCGACCTCGTCGCATTGTGATAACGCAACCTGAACCGTGCATGAAAGTTCCAGAAGGAGCCAGATATCGGTCAACGATGGTCTCAGAGTTGGCGAAGCCTGCTCTCGATATTTGCGTCGCAGCGAGGACAATGTGAGACAGTGACTGATTAGTATCAAACCCACGACGATCCGCAAAGGTGTCTTCCTTTTCTAGCGACGTCAAGAGGTGCGTCGCGCGCGGCAGCAGGATGGAAGATGCACTCTACACTGTCATGCCAGCCATCGCGACACTCGCTTTCATGGTGAAAGATGAGCTCGATCGCGATTGGCAGACGGAAGACTTAGGCGCGAGGTGCTATTCCGAAAGCCTGTAATGTAAGGATGCATCGCGCGGGAGGTTGGATCGACCTGTCTAAGGACCTCGATAGTCCGCCTGATACACCATCAACATTATCTAGCTTCTTGAATTGAGTCTTGATTAAGACAAGACGTTTCGAAACCTTTGATTGACGGAATAGCGATGGTGCGGGGCGTGTTGCCGTGATGGGGCCGAGTGCGGACGTGCTGTGAGCGTATTGTGGGGTGCGACCGGGGAGTAGCTGGAAGTCCCCAGCATGTCACTCCCTCGGCGCGCGACAACAGCGGCGCAGTAGACACAGTCTCCATGCAGCAACACTTGGAATAGTGGCTGTCATACTGCCTCCATTTTTGTCGAACGCTTGTCACTTACCACGGAGGATTCGAAGTCACCCCACCTGCGCATCCTTGTGGCTCTGCCAGCGAGGGGACTGCGTCTTCGATTGCCTGGGTGGTGAGCCTGCGCATGGGACTCATCGTGGTTCCTGAACGAAAGCATCACAAGCCGAATCGACGCGACATGATATTACAGTCGCTTTCCGTGCGCCGCCGCTATGTTCATCCTTTCAAGATCTCCGAGTTCGCAAAGGTCGTTGAAAGGATGTTGGGCACTTCACTCGCCAACGACTCTGATAGCAGGCGCTCGACGCCGATGGATCTGCTCCGGCCCTCGTGGTAACGACCGCTGCAACTTCGCAAGATTGGACGCCACAGCGACAGCAGCTTCCAAGCATTCAATGCAAACTCTTGGTGTAGCCTCGAATTGACGCAGCCAAAACCGAGGTCCGCCTTAGTCCGTCAATCACCTGTTCGCTGTCGAAGACGCTTTATTCCCCTCCGCATCTTATGATACCCTGTCAGTCGGAAGAGGCTCTGACTCCCCTGATGCCGTGGAACGTCGTGCCGTCCATTCGCTTTATTGATGCTGGTGTGTCCAGCATGTTTGTTGAGTATTTCTTGTTCTTTCGGACTTGCCCTTGCACTAAGCTCGGCGAGGTAAAACGTCTGGTAATACTGATCCAGGCCGTCCACTGTAGTGAAGAACGCCAGTTCTGCTTTCAAGGAGGCTTCAAACGATGTGCGCTCCTTAAACGGATCGGCAAGCAGCATCGCGTCCAGATAAGTCTTGCGAAGCTTACATTCTGTTTCTGGAGACCCCATTATAGCAAAAGCGCAATCAAGTTTGGACTTCTGGAGGCTGTAACGCCAAACTCCATCAGTATTTGATAAGAGCGGGTGGACTTTGTACAACCATAGATAGGCGTTAGCCCAGCGTTGTTTTGCCCTGTAATCTCCGTGGCTGGCTGCTTTCAAAACTTTCGGCCAGTAGAGATAAGATTCGACGTAGTCCCGCGCGGTACGGTGAAGGTACACAATCTCATGGTCGAACGCAGGGCGATTGCGTTCAGAATTTGATGTTTCCAAGAAGCCTCGGCATCGAGAAACGAGGCGCCTCCTCATTTGTTCAGCATTACGGCAAGCTTCATCCTCCTCAAGAGCTTCCCAAGGCGCCATGATACTGGAAGTCAGGTCATCGTCACTTGCGAAATGCATCCCTAACAGGGAGGGCGTATTAAAATGATGTTTCAGGCCAGCTTTGCTCTCCCGATGAAGTCGTAACAGGAGAAAGATCTGGCAAGCTTGTTCGTAGTATTGATCGTTCACACTGCGTAGGAGCTTATCGAAGAGTGCCTCCAGGTCAGAGGGTAGTGCGTCAAGGCGCGCTTGAAGATCGCGCAGGTAGTCCGCATTCGAAAGACCTTCCAGTAGCGACTCCACGACAAGGTGAACCCACAAGAACACACCCGATGCCTTTCCCACGATGCTTTGACATAACAACCTGGCCTCGGCTGGAGCGTCAAGCTGTAAGCGTAGGTAATGCTGGTTTTCGCGAAAGTTCTCGACTACGTATGTGGATATGTCTTGCCGAGTCAAATCCTGGAGTAGCAAGCTTGAATGGTCTTTGAACGCATCCTCGAAGGGGAGCCAGGGTCGACTCGCCACACATATCTTGACGTTTGGGCGTACAGCGTCCAAGACAAGCTTGATAATATCCTTCGGCTCACCGTCAAACTCGTCTAAACCGTCGATCATAATGAAGAACGATCGAGACTCATCTGATATGATATTCTCGAAAGCTCGCTTGAGCTCATACCAATCCCAGGGGAGCTCTAGACCACCACCAAAGGCAGCGAATTGTTTCCAACGCTCGGGAAACGCTCTGAGACTTAGTTCAGTGTCCCCCGAGAGACATTCGTGCAGCAAGGTCCGGAGGAGACCAAGACGCGACATCTGTATGTCGCTTCCCGAGTTCCAACAGTAGAACCCAGCTTTCGTGATCTTGCTTGGGTTACCTCGAGAACCAGCCCAGGCACTTAATTGCGCAACCAGAGTCTTGTGGTTGTAAAGAAACTTCATCAAAGTTGATTTGCCAGATCCAGGCTTGCCAGTGATCCAGAAGAGTCCGTTATCTCTTTCCCGGAGCCATGTACAGAAGCCGTACCGAGGCTGGAATAACCACTCAAATGTTCGTTTGTGCGCTCTCGGTATGCTTTCGGACCGATTGACCATGTGTTGAAAATACAGTCGAGGCAGCAAGAGGTCGCAGAACTGCTCATTTCGCGATTTAGATGTATTAGAACGTAGATGCCTTGAAAACTCTTCGACATCCCTTGCGTTTGAGCCTGTCCAGTTATTATCATAGACTGCCTCGAGTAACTTCATGTCTCTTTGATCCTTCCGCATTCGAAACCCACGTAGGTTGCTAGGGAACTTAGATGATGCTGGCCCCTCTACCATAGCATCTATTCGCTGTCTTAAACACATTAGCAGGTACGATTAAGCTCAGATAGTAATTGCATACCGAATCGACACCAGCACAGTACTATCCACCTGCTTCCGGATGCCGTCAAGCTGGCTAGCAAGTTTGGTAATCTCCTGATCGCTGTGTATACTCTTTAAGGCTTGATAAACACTTTTCCACGCGTTGCTATGGCTGCTTCCGCTTGCTTTGTTTAAAGCGTCGCGAAGCTTGTTCGCGGCAGCTTCGCAGTCTTTCATAAGCTGAACAAGTCGGGCATCGGCAGCAGAGAGCTTGGGAGGTCCTTTAGGTGTGGTAGGCGCGTACATGAAGTCGACACCAGCAGGCTCGGGCTCACCTTGCGGATCGAGAAGGCGCAACTCGTCGCACAACCCCAGAAGGTTTTGCGCAGCACTATGCAGCACTGTATGATCGGCAAGCTTGCCATCAGCTGACTGATAAAGCTCGTGGCTACGCGACACAAGGCTAGAGGCGAAGTCCACTATCTGTATGATGTTCCCAGCAATTCCCAGGGCAGCGAGCGGCTCCATCGTGGTTGATGCAAGGAAGCACGAGGATGAAAGCGGGGACCAGCGCTTTATGTATTAATACGATCAGGCTGAGGCTTCGGTCTACCGAGGCGCTTAGGCTTCATGTATGCAGGCAGTGCAGCATGCAGAATCCAGCTCCAATTACCTACATCGCATTTCATTGGAGGGGCCCACGGGATCAGCCTGCGATACGCATTCTCTTGGAAATCACGCTGCATCGCATCTTTTCGTATGCCTTTATTCTTGGATGGGATACAATGGATTGTGTCGCACAAGGCTGAACCGAGTTCTGACCTAGACAGCGACGCAGGCAAAAGACAATTCTACGCAACAACGTGGGGTCGCAGGTTTGATAGGATGGCTCGGGAAAACCGGTGAAGACGATCGGCGGTGCCCCGCGGAGATATTGCCGACTGCAGTCCTGTACAAAAACGGCTCACATCAATGGCCACCCAGCCCAAAAGGGGTCAGCAGTTTGTAGAAGAGCTGTCAATGTAGCTGGCCCACCCATCAAAGATGTCGCGATCATACTGTATGCCAGAGTAAGATCTTCATGTTCAGCCCGAATCAAGGCCCGGCCACAATCGGTACAATCTATCGTCGGAACAGGCATGTCACACACGATCATCGCACAGCCCCGGTCGTACTAGACAACAGCCTCAAGCGCAGAGCCTTGCGGGTTTCAGCTGCATACATTGGAGTGTGAGTTGCGAGATTGTTCGATATCAGCTTCAACTACCTCGTCTGATGGTAGATCGGGCCCTTCATCAGGACAAGGGATTCAAAGTTGCAGGGACATTGTTCGCACCGTCAGTCGGCTTAAATAGTCGTGGAACCGGTCTTGCGATGGAGCTGCCGTAATACAGGACGAAGCTGTGCTCTGCAACCGTGATCCGGAGTCATTCTTCGAAAGGAAGCCATGATTTTGCTCACCCGTCTTTGAGTTGACGGCACCCGACACACAATGCATCTTGCTCGTGGTGGCCCTTACGGTTCTTGTGGTCCAAACCTCGACCGGCGGCAGTAGCCGCAGCGGGCGCATTGACTAGGCCTGGTTCGGCATGCTCGCAGTGTACTTGGATGGAGAATTGGCATGCGTATGGCGCACTATGTGAGGGTACTGCTACTGTCGCAATGAGCTTGAGCTGTCGCTATGCAAAATCACGAAGCGATGAGCGCTCCCACTAAGTACTGAACTGCCGGGTAGCCCCAAGGAAACGACCGTCAGCGGAACAGCTCCGTCAATGATCAGCCAGCGAGTCAGCTTTGTCGCAAACGGTGCCATAACGCCTGGTCGCGGAAGCCCCGCGAAGGCCCTGCACTGCATCATCGCGTATACCGTGTTTCCGTATTGCGCCGTCGCACGTACGATGGCGATGTGATGTGTCCAGCGCCCGCCGGACCGGGGGCGATCTGAAAAACCAGCCTTGCTATCGCCCTACTTTTATTCGTCGAACCAGGCTCAATTGCTTGATTCGTGGATCTGTGGTATCGGGTGGTATCGGTGGAGGCGCGCGGGCGTAGGCATAGGTGGAGGAAGGAGGACGAATACCGGCTTCTGCTCGATCACATTTGTGAGTACGGAGCCGAAACCTGCGCGTGCGCGACGACTCACCATGAGTCGCCAGGCCTCGATATCTACCTACCCATCCGTAAGTATGCCCAAAGCTCTGGTTTCATCCATGGCCCATCGGTTGATGACGGTCTCTAACTGGGGAAAGCTGAGGAGCGCGAACCGTCAACAATCCAGCCACGCCACTAACGCAGTCATTTGAGCCGAATCTCCCATCGCGCAAGGAGCAGATGCAGCTGGAAGCAGAGCGCTTTCAGCGCGATGATGTCATGCCAGAGCTGGTACCAAATCTGACTGGTGGTGAAGTCCCTGCTGTTGTGCGGTGCGAGCCACCGTCGACGGAGTTGCTGAGAGGACTGGCTGCCGTTGATACTAGTCGAAGACATGCTCGGATCTTGTTCGCAGCGCGTAGTACGCAGAGATATGGGCTCGCTCATCATTGGCGTGTGATAAGTGTGAGTATGCGACGCGCACGGGGGGTCAACGTGACGGGACGGAGACTGCGAACGGCAGTCGGTAAGGGGGGTTTGGAGGTTCACACTAGAGAAGGATCAGCATCGCATCCGAGAAGACTCGTGGTAGGACGTACGGTTGGCTCCTTGTAACCTGCGCAGATGCTCTGCGCACCTAGCCAACCGCGACCCCTAAGACTGCCGTCAGTGACAGTGTCGCTTCCTCCCAGGGCTCAAAGATAGGGTTCTGGTGTCATCTACAATAAGTCGTCGTCATGCTGAAGTAAGTGGTAAGGGCACTACCTAGGTAGCCATGCGACCCGTGCGTGCGGTGCGGACCGGTGTTGTGTTGTGGGGTGATGCAGGCGAGGCGTGTCGACGGCGCCGCCATGTGGTATGTAGCGTAGACCGTGCAGCCGTCTCCGATGACCCGAGGAGCGTGCATCTCCCCGTTGCAATTCAAATTGTCGATTGACACAGCGGAGAATCCACCAGGCCCATGAACAACAAGAAGTCGAGCGTTCGCGTCATTGGCACCGTCATCATAGCGTTGCAAGGATAGGTGTCGACGAGCCGTGCGGCGCACTCGATAACCGCGCGTGGCCACTGCGCACCCCCGCGGCGAAGTTCTGCCCCATGCCAAGACCCAGATGGGACGGAGAGTAGCGTACCATCATCACGAACACCAAACCTTCTTACCCGGGCAGAAACATGGGGGATCCGTTCCTATAGCGAGAGCGCATGCTGCAATGGCCCGGACGGCGGCCTCCCCCCGAGCAGCGTCGTGAAGGAAACCGAACATGTTACGAAGAGGCTCATTGACCACTGTGCCACCAACGATTGCCCGCACGCAGCAAGCCGCACACCATACGCTTGCCGAAGGCTCATCCTCTATGGACAGCCTTGAGACCGCAGCCAAGCGATGCTACAGTACTTCCCAGTGTCATGGTGAGAGTTCGAGCGCACTCGCTGGGGAACGTAGGTCTGAGGAGCCGACAGGACGCACCTTCCCAAGATCCGGGGAAGCCTATACCGAGACTTGCAGCGCGAGTACTGGTTGCTCGCATTACCAACACCGAGCGCGTCGCAATACCGTTCAACGCTTCAGTCCCACTATACGAACCTACCGATCCTCGCTGCTAAAGCTGAGCCTCCCACCAGTCGCTCCCTTGGCATCTCGCTATGGCCGTCGTTACGCATCCCAGAGCGCGACTTGTTTAGCTCGCGCGGCTACAACTTTGCGACATACCAATGCTACCGTACTACGATGAAGCGTTGCCACCAGCGCGTCCTTGGCCTTCGCAAACTATTGTTCAATCCTTTCCCGCCCTGACCAACTGTTTCCCGACCGCCCTCTGCCATCATCACCTATTCATCAACCTTCTTACAGCATCCTCAACTATTCCACCGCCATCCTCGCCGTCGGCAACTCTTCGCCCAAAATCCCTTTACGATCCTCAAGCAAGGCGCGCGCCCTCCGCCATGCCCCGCCATGCCCCGCACAGGCATCTGCACAATCCGAACGATACCTGATACGCACAATCCCGACGCGAACAGAGCAGCCTTCCCGGCCATCCATCCGCGAGGCTGGAAATCGCCACAAGAATGGCGGGCTAGTGGGTGGGCGGGGCTCTTCCGAACAGCGAAGGAAACAATGCTAGTGAGCGGGCTGGGAATAGCGGGCAGCGGGAGTGAGAGCGCGCGTCTGTTAGGGCTTAGGGGCTATGTCGTAACTAGCAACACCTGTAACGAAGTGACGAGCGACACAGAAGAGGCTGGGAGGCTAAGAGGGTTCGAGGTAGAGGAAAGGGACGCCGGATGACGGTGATGTCGGGTAAGCCTTACCCACGTTGCTTCGTATAGGATACGGAGAACTACCCGTAGAGAGAGACTAGAAGCATAGCACAGTAAAGAACAAAACTTACTAGGTTTAGGTTAAGTTTACTACGCAACATAGAGAAAATTAAAGTAAAGTTTTATTTATCTATAATCTTTTTTCTCTATAAACTTTTAAATATACTTTATAAAACTACTATTAATTAAAGTAGAAAAGAATATAGAATTAAAATATTACTATATATAGTCTTTATCTTTAATTCTTTATTATATATTATAACTATAAGCCTTTAGTAAAGAATAAAACTTACTAAGTTTAGATTAAGTTTACTATATAATATAGAGAAAATTAAAGTAAAGTTTTATTTATCTATAATCTTTTTTCTTTATAAACTTCTAGATATACTTTATAAAACTACTATTAATTAAAGTAGAAAAGAATATAAAATTAAAATATTACTATATATAGTTTCTATCTTTAATTCTTTATTATATATTATAACTATAAGCTTTTATATATATATTCTTTACTAAGGTTTTTATTTATAGCTTTCTAACTAACTATAATTATTATTTATAGTACTAAAACTAAAAATTATTTCTATTTATAGTATAAAAGAAGCTTAGTGTAAATAAATTATCTTAAAGAATTTAGGCTAGCTTATAATTTTCTACTATTTACTTCTTTTCTATACTTTTTTTTTATCTATTTATTATATATAATAGTCTTAATATATTTACTATATTACTATATTTCTACTTATTATATACTATACCTACTATAAACTTTATATAAACTATTTTTTATAATTATAATATTATAGATTAAACTTATAATCTTAATCTAATTAGAACTAGCTTTAATTAAGTAAGAAATATTAAAAGTTTACTATATAGATAGATTTATCTATATATACTATCTTATATAATAAAGATATATATCTAATAATTAATTATAGTATATAGTGTTTTTACACTATATTACGTTAACTTTATATTCTTAGAATACTTTACTTTAGACTTAGTTATTAAGTATATATCTACGCGTAATAATAAGCTATTACTACTACTACTACTAATTAAGCACTAGCTCTAGAGCTTACTATATTAAGTAAAATATCTAAGATTATTATTATTAA